TATTTTAATATTAATAAAATTTATATCAGCAAAACTTCAATTAAAAATAATCAATGCAAATTAGATTTTATGCAGTTCATTATATTCGATTGCTATTTAATCATTATGCTATGATTGTGTGCTTAATTACTGATTGCTATTATGCGTAGTCATTTAATCTCTGCATGATCACTATACTTGCCTGATTTCTATGCGTAATCATTATGCCCATTTGATCATTATGCATGGTCATTTAATCTCTGTGCATGATTACTATGCTTGCCTAATCTCTCTATGCATAATCGTTATGCCTATTTGATCACTATGCATGGTCATTTAATCTCTGTGTGTGATTACTATGTTTGCCTAATCTCTATGCATAATCGTTATGCCTATTTGTTCACTATGCAATCTCTATGTGTAATCGTTATGCTTGTTTAATCTTTATGCATAATCGTTATGTTTGCTTGATCATTTTATGCAATTGTTATATATCGTTATGCAAAAAAGTTTAATATTGCAGGCAATTAGGATTGAAAATAAATAAATATACTATATATATGTAAGAAATTTCACTTACACTTACTTATAAATACATTAAACCTATAGTATTAATTTTCATCGTTTCCTTTTAAAAATAAAAATAATCAAATTATTTAAAACAATAACTCACCAATATATCTTTAAACACTTTCCTAATTTCGAATGGCATCCACTACTAGTATGCGTATACCAGCTCCAGTATGGCTATACTTTGATCCTCCTATTGAAGTCGAATCGGGTAAAAAAAAAGCTAGATGTAAGCTATGCTCGACAGATAATTACCTTACTGTGAATAATAGTGGTACTTCCAATTTGTGTACCCACATTATCAATATTCACAAAATCGACATCCCAAGTATTTTGAGTTCTGAAGATTTAGCCACTTTATTTTCTCAGTCCGGTAAACATTTTCTTAGAGAAATATTGGTCGAGTGGATTGTAAAGGATTGCCTTCCGTTTACTATCATCGAGTCAGAAAGCTTTCATAAATTATTTGAGGTAATTAGAAAGCTAGAAGGTAATATTACAATTCCATCTGCAAGTACAATTAAAAGAGATCTATTAGAATATTACTCGGTATCAAAGGCTTCATTAAAAGAAACACTAGAAAATAACTCAAATAAGATTTCACTTACCACAGACATATGGACTAGTAATAGTTGTAAGGCGTTTATAGGAGTTATGGCCCATTGGCTTGATAATAATTGGGAAATTCAATCTTATATACTTGATCTCGCGCCATTCGAAGGACTGCATTCTGGAATAAATATAGCAAATACTTTGATAAGTATTTGTGAAGACTTTAGCATTACTAAAAAAATTCTTGGTATAACCATTGATAATGCTTCTAATAATAATATGTTCATTGAAGCATTCGAGTCTTTTTCTATGGAAATTGGTGGTTCTTTCACCTAGCGACAAGGCCATATTCATTGTATAGCTCATGTTATAAATCTTGCTTTGCAAGATTTTTTGTTTCAATTATGTTCTGAAGCATCAGATCAAGATAATGATGATATTAATATTTTAAGTCAAACTAATACCTCTAATACTCAAGTCCCAACAATCAAAAAGCTTCATATGCTTATTGCGAAGCTTCAGCATTCACCCCAACATTGTCAAAATTTAATCGAGATATGTATCTCCCTCAACATACAACATATGAATCCAATTCTTGACTCTAAAACACGTTGGAACTCAATGCTTAATATGCTTGAACGAGCTATAACTATGGCTCCAGCACTTAATAGAATAGTTAGAAAAATTTCTGAGCTAAGTGAATTTGGTTTTCTGCCATAGGAATGGGATATATTAAAAGAAATTTCATTACCTTTAAAAGTTTTTCATAAAATATCCGAGATATTGTGTGGTGAATCGTATGTAACGATGCCTCTCGCTGTTCCAGCATATAATCTAATTATGGATGATCTTGAGGATTTGCAAGGAAAAGGTCTGTCGTCAGTAATTGAGGAAGCTATTAGAGTATCGCTTAATAAATTAAGATCTTATTATGCCAGAAGTGATAGTCCTATGTATGCGGTAACTACCTTATTAGATCCAAGATTAAAAAAGGCATATTATGAAAAAAATAAATGGGATAAAGTTTGGATTGATTGGGCAATTGTATGTTTAAATGAAGTATATGATAGTTATGATGATATTGTAGTACCAAATACTGATACTTATAGCGATATTTCTCTTGGCCGGGTTTTCAAGAATCTTCACTCTGAAAACGAAATTGATTTTTATTTAAAAGTTCTGTAGAACATGATAGTATAGATATATTTCAATGGTGGAAAATACATGTCAAAGCATTTCCCAAATTAATGATTATGACATATAATTACCTTGCTATACCTGCATCAAGTGCTCCATCTGAGAGACTGTTTTCAAGAGGCTCTAATATGGATACTAAAAAGCGTGGATCACTTAATCCAAAAATAATTCAAAAAGCAATTGCTCTTTGTGATTGGATAGACTGAAAAGAATATATATTATTATTGTTATATTGTACTATAT